CATTTGAAACAAAAGAGTTATAATTGTTACAAGTTTTTAATTTAAAATCTAGTGAATTAAAAACTTTTATTCCTGAGTAAAAAATTGAGTTTAAAAAACATTGAAGCTTTTTCTTGGACTTCGGAAGTTCCAGATCCTTCTGAACCACAGACCGAGTCTTGATTTCTGAGTCTTTAAATTTGAAAAAATTATGACATTTTTTCGCATTTAATTTAAAGACTCATCATTTAAAACATTCTTGTATTTCATTATACTTATAAAGGAAATAGATATTGATTGTATCATTGTATTAATAAACATAAGTATTTATAAAATATTAAACAATCAAACTTTAACAATATGTATGAGTTATATAATAAATTATAACTAGCAAGTCTTCATTGGGTACGGGTTTTAATTAAATTTCAAAATTTATGTAAGTCTTGGTGGTGTTTGCTCACTCATTGCATCATATTTGCTGATAATAATACTTAATAAGTAAAAACTGAGCAAAGTAAAAAGTGAAATATGAGCAAAAGTTCAGAAAAATTGTGAATTTCACAAAAATGTTGAATTCATTTACAACCGCCTGTCCGGACGATCAGTATTCACTCGTCAAGAATAGCTGCACTGAAATGCTCTTGCTCAGATTTTTCACATGTTTTATGTTAGCGATGCTAGTTTTACTATTCATATGGTAATTACTAATTACTACTATTAGTTATTAGACTGAATATATTATAGTAGCTCAAAATTAATTCAATATACTTTATTACCAGGATGATAATAATTCATTGGTATTTAACTTGGATTTATGCAGAATTTTCTATAAAAAACAATTATTTGATTTAAACGAAAAGTTTTATGTAAACTTATTAACTGAATGGGATAGTGACCTGGTTGTCATTGATTTGGTAATGAATCTATTTTAGTAAATATACTCAATATTAAACAATTAACTAATTTTTGTGTTCAACACTAGTTAACAGCAATCATATTGTTTAACCCAAACCGACCTAATCTAACGCACAGGCATTACGTACAGTATGTTTAAGTTTACCAGTTACTAATATTTGATGATTTAACTTTAATTAATTGATTATTTGTTTGTTAGACTCGAACAACAATTGTATATATATTTATTACAACGATATCTACTTTTAAAATACAAATCCGATTCTGAATCGCAAACAAAATTACAGCGATTTATG